GTATAGCAAGCAGAATCTCTTAATTCTCTATTTCAGCTGGTTGCAAAGGAGGAGCTAGGAGCTTCTCAGAATTCTACCTCAGTGTTGCTGGATTTCTTTGACTGTTTAAAGATAAAATCTTGCCCTGAATTCATTTGGTGTTTCCAGGTGTGTAAAATAACATTTACAGGACTTGTAGCAAAACTTTTTTTATTTGATAGAGCCTGCTCAGAGTTTTAATTTGCATTTCAATAAATTTAATTATTTTGATATGCTGATGAATAAACTGCTGTCAAATAAGTCTGCTCTTTGTTTCAGAAGCTGAGACAGTCTCTGAACTTAAGGCATACACTTACCTTTTAGACCATGACAGCTTTCTTTAAATGTGGTTCCACAAGTGCATTTGTAAAATAGCTCTTGAGAGTGAAATTGATGAGATACACCTAATCCAAGCGTGACAAAATCCAGACAATCTTTTTGTTACAGTATATCAAAATGAATGGAGTATTGCACCAAGTCACTACTGATTTGAGTAAAAGAAAATATTTGAAGGCAAGTTAAAATGTGACCAATATTTTCTTTAAGGTTTCTTCCCTTCTTCCTTTTTATTTCTTGAAAAATCTGCTTATTGAAGTGTGACCTTAGTGTGCAGGTTCCAGAACCAAACAGTATTTCATGGGGGAGAAAGGTATGACACGCAGAAGCATTTTACTGTATGACAGAGTAGCAGGTTGTACTCTTTATTTTCTGGAAACACTGTTACAGGTATACCCAGCCGTATAGGACACAGCAAAACTTCACTGAAATTTCTTTAAAAACATAAAATTACTTGCATGAGAGAAAGGGTATTACTTCCTTTAGGTCTCACGTTGTATAGCTGCTGGTACTCATGCAAGCCAGACAGCTGGAGAATCGTGCTTTGCTGGTACTCCTGCCTCCTTAGAGCCACCTTTGCAAACTACGCACGTAAGCAGGGCACGTGTGCAGGGTGCCTGCCTTGGGCGGTGGATGCCGTACTCTTGGGACAGTCTTTTATCGAAAAAAAAAAAATTGACGAACAGGAGCCTGTTCACTCGTGCGGGTCCCCGCAGGCCGGGCTGCAGGCTGTGCAAACTGGCACCGGTGCTGCTCAGGCTCCGGTCGCTGGGGCTGGCGCCAGGCTCTGCCTCTTCACCGCAGCTCTTGGGGCAGCAGCGGCAGCTGCTTCGCGCCCAGCAGCGCGAGCCCGCAGTCAGCCGCCCCGAGACCTGGCGTCTCGGTGACGGGCGCGGGCTGGCTTGCGGGGTCTGCAAGTGGGTATTCCCAGGGTCAAACCCATCATCTCTCTTTGCATCAATCTTCCTGTAGGAAAGGCTCGGGAATTCTCGTGTGAAGTGGCTATTTAGGAGGAGAGACCGAAGTTTGGTTGGAAGATCGGGAACAACAATACATCGCTGAAGGGCTTTCAGTGTGGAAGCTGTAGCGTGGATGTGGGTCTCTTCGAGAGAGGAGCATAGAAAGTTATTAGCATCTGTTTGCACTCAGCTTCCAAAGTTCTTTGATTTCTGCACAATCCATGGATTCCAACAGCACAACAGAGGCCTCCATTTCAATGCAGCTGCAGAGTTCTCAGAGCCTTACTGCAGGATACAGCAATGCCTTTCTGCTGAGCAGTAGTCTCCAGTGAGTTTTTCTAAGAGCAGCTTCAGTGTCAGAAAAGAAAATCAAAACTAGCAGTCCACTACGTACAAGCAGAGATGACTGGTGTACTCCAAATTAGCAACTTCTATTTGAGGAAATAAATGATCGTATGTGTAAGTACTGCCAAATGATGTTTCTTCTTTAGAATAGATTATTTTTTTTTTTAATTTGGATATTTAAGATGCTATATAATTTATCTTAATTCACATGGGAGTTGTATTTTCCATATTTTCTTTGGTCCATCTTGAAGCCAAGGATAACAACACAGCAACAATGTAGGATCTAAACTGTAATGCTTGAAGTGCCAGAAAGAAGGATGTTTGCATGCTTGGTTTTACTCTCTTCCTTTTTCAATTAAAATAAAGTTGCAAGTTTTAATATAGGTAGTAATTAATCACAGAAATGAAGTACCAAGGGAGGTAGAAAATTATGCACAGTTCCAACTTTTTTTAATCAAGGTTGATGACTATCCAACAGTTATGCTGCCGTTGCACCAAGGTACTGGGTTTGACACAAACCTGCGGGGAAACCTCAGTGCTTGCTGCGCAGAAGGCCGGGGGGTGGTGGTCCCTTTTCTGGCTGGAAGCGGGAAGCAGCATCCAGCAGCTTGGGCCATAACCCCAGAAACTGTGTTTGTTTCTCCCACACTCAGCTCAGATTCCATGTGATTTAAAATCCTGATTATGTGCCGCTGCTCTTCTAAACGCAGACGTGCACAGAGCCAGTGTGGGAAGTCGAATTTGTTAAGAGCTTTCTGAAACTGCCGTGGAGTGAAATGAGAGCTCTGCTTGTTTCTCGTCGCCTCTGGGCGAGTATGAAGGCAGGCTGCTTTCAGTGCAAGCCTGTCATTCTGTAACAGCTCACTGCTGTCACAGATGCTTGGGTGGGCAGAGCACTAAGCTAGTTATCTTGAGAACTTCTCCCAGTAAAATTACAGGGGCTCAGATTCACCTCCTAAGGAAGCTAAATTCATCTTTGAGGAGGTGGAGAGCTACATTGTATGTTACATCAGTAGCCCTGCTGCATCTTCAGTGCACAGCTACACTGAGCTGCCCCGTACTCTTCTGGCTTTAAGGTGTTTTCTCAAGTTCCAGATGCCAAGACATGGTAAAACTTACCCCAAAAATCTGTGTCGCTTCTTGGAAGGGTTGCTGCACCGGAACAGGAGGCTGGTGTTCCTCTGGTCTGCTGGCACATATAGTTGGAACAAATGTCTTGGCTGCTGCTGCTTAACTTCAGTGCAGCAGGGTTGATATTAGATTTGCATGCTAGCAGGGGCTTGTCTTACCAGGCAGATGTGATAAAATTTGGCCAAAATGTGATTAATGGAAACTTCAGGAGCGGCCACATGCAGGAGATTCGTATGCTTTTCAACAACCTGCTTAAGATGACCATTTTCTCCTTCCACGTCATCTCTTTGAATTTCAAGGTTTTGAGAGCAGTGACTGTCTTACATGAAAAGTTCAATTCACTTGAAAAATTCATCAATGGTTCTGAATAAGGCCTGCAGGTTTTAGTAACTCTTACATATCTCTGTGTCTTCTGGTTTAATTAAGCCTCCAAACACTAGTTTGAACTGTAGCTATTCCATATGCAGGCAAATTGAGATTCACAAGGGAAAGAGTTATTTAAGTTGGCATTTAAAAGTCTGAGCCACTAGCTAAAGACCCTTTGAAATTCTAGGTTATTAAAATTTCTTAATTCCCATCGAAATTGAGAGAAGCATCCTCTGCAGGTACGTAAGATACGCAGGTGGCTGTGGCTGCAGACATGGCAGGTTACACTGGAACTTCACAGTACTGCAGGGCGTGACGTACAGCGGCGCCTGTCTCGCCATACATACGCTGTGCTGGTGAGATGGGGCCAGGCCGTTCCCTTGAGGAACTGGAGGAATGTGTGCTTGGATGGCATTTGTTTAAATCACTTACTTAGAAAGGAGCTGGAGCTTGCCTCGGTCTAAGCTGCCCATGTACCTGACATTAAGCTCATTTTGACATCACCAGGTACATGAATCCCTTTAGGCTACACTGCAGTAAACTCTGCTTTAAAGCTAAGCAAGTAAAGGCTGCATCATTTTTTTGGTTTTTTTTTTTCAGAATACACAAGCTGCATGGTAATACCCCTCTGACACGGCTGATGAGTAAGTCAGTCCCTAGCTGACAGGAATACACCTAGCTGCCATTGCCTGGGAGAGACGGCGGTGAGATCAAGATGCCAGTGGTGGTTATTGCTGGAGCCCAAAGCTGTGGCTTTTAGTCATTCTGGGCAGTTTTGCATTGTTTGCCTGAGGGTTTGCTTTGAATCAAAGTGTTGCTTAAGCAGCAGAAAACACAAAACTGGCAGAGAAAGGCAGTGTAAAAGGTCAAATCTCAGCTTCAAAAGGAGTTGTGATGTTGCCCAGCCCCATCAGAGCTAGGTTGTTTTGCCCTTACAGTACCTAAAGAAACTTTAGGAGGACATGGGAGAGGGTGCCAGGGCTCTGTGTCAGTAAAGAGCTGCCACACTAGAAATACTCAGAGATGCTGTCAGCAACCCCCCTCAGGGAAGGGGAGGAAGTAAAGCCCAGTAGAAGAACAAACCAAACACAGAGATAGAGACTTGGCAGTATGCATGAAAAATCTTTTAAGTTATTTATGTATATATTGTTGGGACAGAGGTGTTTGTTTGATCTTAGAAAAACAATTTAAGGCTTAGTTTTGAGTCACTTTGGAGTTTCTGGAGTCACTTAGACCTGATGGCATCAATACCTTTCTTACAGTAGGAGGAAGTTGATGCAAGCTGACAAATTGTGGACTTCACTCAGGTAGGGTGCTGAGCACAACATTTATGGTGCAATGACCCCAGGCAGCGCCGTGCAGATACCTGCCCACCACGGCCGAGCAGCCACATCTTGCTGCCAGCAAACCCAGTGACTGAAAACAACACGCTTGGTGTCTGTAACACAAATGCATGTCTAGTTTTATGGTAGCATGAAATAATAACGCATACAGTCCCCCTGCACTTGGAGGTATCGGGTGTCTATCTTGAGCTCACCCAGGTTTTGGAAAACAGGGAAAGCCTGAGCCCTGCAGAGTGAGGGAGTACAGTGCAGGGGAAAACTTCATGCTAGATCTTCCTCCTGCACAAGCGGTGTGAGCACATTCTCAGTAGCTCTGAATAATTTTACATTTGACTCTAAAATTTTACTTAACCACAGTGAACTTAACTGACCTATACTTCACCAGGACTTCCCATCAAGGACTGCTCCCTGCTGGAGAACACACAGCCCTCCAATCATACGAGGGCATGTTTTTGAGCTGCTTAGTCATCCATTTTAATTTCACATCAATTCAACAACTGACTGAATCCAGCATGTTTATTCCCTTCCAAATAAATCTCAAAATGAAGGCGGCGTCCTGCCCGTATCACAAACATTTCAGTATTGTTCAATTAGCAGTTCCCGCTGGTGCCTTTGCTAACAACGAGAGAGCTACAGAATGGCACCTGTAGCTGGCCAGAGGAGATCAGTCCAGTTAGGTTCCACAGTCATGGTATTAGACACACAGAGTGCTTCGCCTGCAGACCTTACCACGTGTTGGTTCCAGAGCGGATGGGAGTTTTTCACTGCTTCCATCTTCTTTGCCAAACCCTGGAGTAGCATATATATATTTCCAAGGGGGAACTATAAACTGTCAGTAGGTTTATATCCAAACATCTTCCATCTTCTTTTTCATTGTTCCTAAATCCCCTCAAGTAGCTCATATGACAGGCATGCTTCCCTCAAGAAATCTCTGTATTATGCAATAAGTAAAGGAACAATTTTCTCCTCTGTGTCCCCTTTTATCTCTGCTTTACAAAAAGGTTCTTGAAGGCATTGTTGTAATTTTTGTTAAATGCTGTATAAATGAGAGGATTAAAGAAAGAATTGGAGTAGCCAAGCCAAAGAAAGATGCTTTTCCAGACGGGTGGGATGTTGCAGGAACAGAGGGGACTTATTAATTCTGTGATGAAAAAAGGGATCCAGCACAGTACAAAAACTCCAATTAAGATGCCAACCATCAGAGCTGCCTTTTTCTCTTTCTGTTCTCTCCATGTTTCTCCATCTGTCTGGAAAGTGATAGCTGCACGACGAGCTGTAAACACCATCTGTGGTTCATGCGAAGCTTCCTTCACCTCAAAACAAAAGCAAACACAGATTCTTACCAAGACAATTTGTTTGAGTGAAGTATTACTTTTAAATGACAGCACGACATCTGTGCACCTACCACCAACTCCATTCTTTCCACACTAAAAGAAAGAAAATGCCCTAGAGTGCCAAAATTACCAGACTTCTCATTATGTTGGAAAAGCTGCTGTGACTGACAAACAAAGCTAAATAAAGAGTAACTGATGCCACGTGTATTGTGGGCATTCTTTTTCAGTTTATTTTATTGGATGTCTTGATAACTAGTGGGACATCAAGTTGTTAAGGAAGGCTAACGAGGGCATGTGCCTTCGGCCTATCCCTAAACCAGATTCTCCTATGCGGCTACATGACCTTCAGGGCTTTTCAGGCCTGAATTGTACATTAATTTCATTTCATTGCAGGCCTCTTAGGTCATTTCCCTAAGGTATTAGGGAGGGACCTGCAACAAATGCCTGCTTGTCGACTACAAGATAAAGCTAATTTCTTCAGCCTAACTGACTGGACACAGAGCTCCAAATCCCATCTCTGGTAGGTGCAGGAGCTTGGCACCACCACTTGTAGTGCAGAAGGGACAGAGCACACCCCAAAAAACTCAGCTAAATCTGCAGGAAGATTTTTCCATTGGATCGCTTTTTAATGAAAGAATGGGATTTCAGTTAAAGGAAAGTTTCAAGACATGTGTCTGATCTTTGGAAAATGCTGATATTTCATTACCCCCAAGAATCATAAATGCCTGAAATAAAATTGAATTCTTTTGAAATATTTCAGTGGAAAGTAAACCCATCAAGAAGAGTCCCTTATGAAAGACAGAACTCGGGTGCCTTCTGCTCCTCCTTGACAGAGGCTGTCTCATGGCAGGCACTTCTGCTTCCCGGCGAGGGACAGAGCAGCGTTTCACAGCGGCTGCAGCCCGGCCACAGTACCAACACAGTAGATGACAGTGGGTGCATAAGGATGGGCCTGAAATGATGCAACCTCAGGCCCTGTGCCACCATTTTGAATTAGCTTATAAAACACTCTGGTAGTAATCAAAGAAAAGCTTTGCTGGAGAAGCAGCATTTTCTGGTCCTTACTTTCTCTCTTCTGTCACCCGTCCGTTATTTCACTCAGATCTACTTGTTACTCTCACAAACAGTACTCCATTGCCAGAAAACCACCATTTCAATCAGCCTTCAGTTCAATCTCTGGCTTCAGCAGAAGTTACATAAGAGAGGGGAAAACACCAGCTACTCCAGGCTGCCGACGGTGCTTCTTGTCTCCTCTCTTGCTAGGGGCAAGACATTCATCTGTGCACAGTGCCCTGGGTGGCAGCAAGACTGTGGCAAACAGGTTTTGGGCACAAGTTATTAATGTGCTGAGAGTCTGACCAGAAAAAGATACTCCCTTGTGATTTTAATCTGAAGATTAAAGCATCTGTGAGTGTAAAGTTCTTCTAGGCACTACAGTTATGAAGACAGTGCAATAAAATCAACAGCTAAAGGATGCAACCTGAGGCTCTAAAATTTGCGTAAGTGATAATTCACAGGCACCGCAAGACTTTGACACCACTCCTAAAATGGCTTGTTGTTGAATTAGCTACATATTCCACGTGCACGTGCCCCCTTTGTGCAAGCTTTATAATAGATGGAGGGCCTCTATTTAATATAAGCACAGCAACTCAGAGAGGGAAGCACTGGCAATGGCTAGGCAATCACTCTTCAAGATGGATATCCCTGTCTTCACCCTCAGACATGAGACATGGCTGCAGAATGTAAGAGCAGCAGATTATGGGCGCAGGCAAATAATGGAGGAAAATGAAAATCACATCTGTCCTGACAATTAAAATGGGACACCCCTCATGTAGCAAGGATCACACCATTTGTCTGCAGAAGGACTTTACTCTGCACATCCTTAATCACACTCTGCAAAAAGGAATGAATATATGACATCAGGACAAATTTGTGACAAGCAACCCTGAAAGATTATGTCTTAGCCCTGAAGAATAGCCACATAAGTATGCCTCTTGGGAAGAGCCATACAAAGGACTTTGTCACTAGAATTGGGCATAGTTTGGTACTGTATTTAACCTTCAACTCTTACTCAAAAGATAGAGCTTGCAGCGTGCCATCAGCAAATCAGAGCCTTTTCAGTACTCCAGGTATTAGAAGGCTTAGGACTGAACTGCAGAATTTACTAGTAGCATCTCTTTTATCACTTATTTTCATAATGTGAGAAAAAAAATATTTGTTTTTATAGAAGATACCACAGTCCTCAGGTGTTTTCCCTAATGAAGCATGCATTTGCAGCCTGGTGAAGCTCCTCCTGAAATCAGAGGAGTTTCCACAAACTCCACTGGTTGTTAGATCGGGCCTCTGAATACTAACCAGCAAGGGAAAATAGATCATGGCAGCTTTTGTAAATTACAGGACAGCAGTTTTCTTCTTATCTACATAATTTCTACTTTCTCTGTTGTCACAGCTGTTTTTTTTCAATTCTTTTCTTGACTAGCTCTGCCTGAGACTTCCGAGTAACGTTGTAATAACAGTGATAATAATAAAAGTGCAAATAGTAGCCTGGTGCTTTAGGAAAAATAATGGGATCTCTCGTGGAACCTTCCAGTAAGTAACCTGTGTAAATGTCCCTGGCAGACTGGAGATACTTACTTCAAGTTTCCATACGGAGTCCTTCAAAAAGGATACACAAACTGTTCTTGAAAAGGTAACTAGTACTGTTCAGCGAGGTTCTTCAGCCTGTGCCTTCGACACGACTCACCCAAGCACCTAAACCTTGGCAGCTGTACGGAAGCTCAGCTTTCCATGGTCACCGGTGTCTAATGCTCACCTCCTACGTTGTTTCCAGCTAACCTGGGAGCGACCCTGGCTCAGTTGGCTCTCCGTCTGGCTCGCCCGCCGCAGCGCCTGCCTCGGGCCCTCCCGGCACGGGGTACCGCTCCGAGGGCCAGCTTGGCACGCCTGCCATCCACCGGCCAGCTGCTCCTGGCTTCCACCGTCGCACAAGGGACCAGGCTGTACGGAGGGTTTCTAGTGAGCTCCTGTGCTCCACCCTGCCGGGCACGCACCAGCTTTGCGGTCCTGTGCTGCCTCCCTGTCTGGTCACCACACACACCGACTAGAGAACTGCCAGATTTTTGAAGTTAAACACGGATTTAATCCAAAGTGCCGTTCGTATCAGAAAATACGGATCAGTGCAGACTGCAAAGCTGGGAAAGTCCAACCTTTCATTATATTTCCATTTTTTTTAATTATTTTTATCGCTATCTGTAGGATTTGCTGCAGACCTGACTCATCTCCCTGGCCTGGCTGGTGCAAGATTATCCTTGCTGCAACTACCACCTCCCAAGACTATGTTGTCAAGGCTGTTTGTTATAAGCCAACCCACACAAACTCCATGGAAGGTAAACTAGTCTACTGTAGGCAAACACTGTTGCAGTACACAGTGCTGGCAGAGGAACCATGCTAAAGGATTCCCCCCTTATGCAGGCATGGGGTAATTTGTACTGTAATTTGGCATTGTCTGAACAATAGCACAGGCCAAAAAGATTATGTATTCCAGCCTTGCCACTTGTGATTTCCTTGAAATAAACACAGCTCTGACTATACCAAATCTGCAGTTTTCAGTGCCAATCCCGGAGACTTTGTATGACTCCAACTTCTAATATAAGTCACAATACCTGACTGTTGTCCCTGTGCCACCTGGAACAAAGGACAACCCAGTATAAAAACTTTCCCCCCCATTTTGGGCCTAATGCTGAGCTCTATTGAGAAGGCTGTGACAGGGGTAAAGGTGGTCACAGAGTGCAAATTAAAGCAACCTGTGAAGATGCCTTAGTTTATACTAGGGACATCTCTCACATGTGAGCATCTCTGCACAGCGTTGCACACTATCTCACTGGGTGGCTGGCAGCACACTATGCCCCAGGCACTGGTCTCCTCCCCTTTGCCCAGGCTCTGCTCCAGGAGCTGCAAGTCAGGAGCAGTGGGGAAAAAAGCTGGCATGAAAGGACTGCTACTCTGAGGCCAGAATTACGTTCTGAATTTGTGAAATCAGCTACTTCCAGGACAACAGGCTCTGAGAAATGCAGAGATGACCACTTTCCAGTGAGAATATTATAAAGAGAATTAAAGGAAGGAAAAGAGCTCTCAAGTACAAATTCTTCTACAGACACAAAGGAGTTTGGTTTTAGTTTCAGATTTCATTCTTCCATATGTTGATCAGCAGCTACAGTTCAATGCCACTTCTGTTGTTTGTCTGTCCCTAGTAAATTAATGGCTCTGTGTTCCTAGAGCTCTACGTTCCCAATTCCTGTGTTCCTAGCAGCGTTATAAAAAACATGCCACCAAGCAGCTTCTGATGAAATCGCTTGATTTAGTATGTTCCTTATTGCTTTAATGATTGTTATTACGGGTCCTTCGTGGCAAGTACTGTGTATGTGTTTGCACTGTACCTCCAGGGTCTGCGATAACAAAACAACAGTATAGATGATAAACATCAATTAAATCTGGCTTACCACCACAAATTCAGAGGTTTGCCTATTACCGTGTGATTCAGCGAAGATCATTACTGCCTCAGTGCAGCTTTGGCATCCTTCTTGCTCTCTGAACATGAACACGAAAAACTGAAATGTACAATGAAGGATCAAAAACATAGGAATGTCTACACTTTCTTGGATGCTCCACCAATATGACAAACAGTACATTTGACAGGGAAAAGAACACCTGCTTTCTCTCACAGGATTTTCTTCTGCTGTGAGCAGAAATAGCTCTGCATTTCTCCCGGGGAATTGCTAGCCACTCCACTTTGCTTCCTGCCTCACCTTTCTCCTACCTGACATCTGCTGGCACTCTTTTGGATGGTTGCACTTTGACCCATCTCTTCTACTTGTACAGTCAGAGGCAGAAATAACGAATAGAAGGCTTGTGTCTCCTTCAGAGAAGGAGAATCTGTTTCCTCTCCCATACCGTCCTGACTGGTTACATGGGTTGGAGAGGCTGAACAGGCCAAGGTGCAGAATAAGGTGTTGGAGCTCTGGGAAGGACTCTCACAAAACTGATAAGGTTTGGATCAGGCCTAATTACTCATATACTATACTAGTTACTTTAAGAGGGGAGAAATAAAAAAAAAAGACAACTCAAAAACAAAACAAACAAAACAAAACCAGCAGAACTTGATTTTTAACTTCTCACATGAAAATTTAATCCTAACTCTGCAATTGCTACATGTAACTAATTCTGCCATCCTTGGTTTTGCTGGACAAAACCTATGCTACAAGTGACTTCATTGATTTAAAAGGGCACTATCCAGCAGTATCTGCTGCTTTTCAAGCAGTCTCATTTATTTCAATTGCACTATTTACGGAGAGAATTATTACCTACTGCCAGCAAGGTGTGACACAGTATAGCTCTTTGTCAGTGATGGTATGTCACTTGTTTTTTTACAAGGGTCACTAACATCAGTATTGACTATAGAATTCACTTTTTAAGGAGCTTCATAATTAGCAAACAAATAGTTATAAAAGCATCAGCCTAATTTAGGGTCTCAATCCTGCATTTTTTTTTATTTCAAGGGAAAGTAAGAAACAAGTTCTAATTAAAACCAGAAGCACCTCAAATGTTTCCTGTCCATCTCCCTCACCTGTTTTTTTTTTTTTTTTCAAAGACTTTAAAAAGTGTTTTTCAAAAATACAAGTAGAACTTTAACCAAAACTGACTCAAAATAGTTATTTTATAACTATTCTATTCTGCATCTCTGTAAGTGTACAGAACATAACGTATGTATGCCAATTCTCAGATTGGTGACAACTTCCCTTTGTCTGTGGATATACATATATATACACATACATATATACACAGTGGCAACCTGCAAAGCACTTTGGTGCCTGGCTCTGTTGGCTGAAAAGCACTGTGCAAAACCATCAAGGTACCACCATAATTGCTCTACTTGGTGCCTGTTTCTTCGAGGCAATTTTGCTGGCATACGAATACCATCACCTCAAATCTTTTCCTCCTCAAATTAACTTGCTAGAACTAACCAGCTACACTGCTGGTTATTTACCTCAGGCCATAAACTGCAGCCCTGGCACGCAGTTCCAACCCAGTGCTACCTGACAGCTAATTCCCAAGTACAGCACAGACATCTCTCCCAGCAGAGATCACTGCTGTTAGCACTCGCCTCCAGCCTGGGAAGCGTCGCCAGCCCTTGGCATTGGCTGCTAAAAGCCCCTCTAATGCTACTCAGATCGACTCATGCAGGGCATCCATGGTGAGAACTGACAGAGATGCAGAGGGCACTTCACACCCAGAGTAACAGGGACGAAAGAAAAATGTTGCAAGGGTGATCATGACAGGTGAGCATTCTCAGAGAAGGACGGGATGAAAAAAAGTAAAGGTCGAAGAGACATTAGATGAGAAAGAAATGGAAAATGAGAGTGAGTTGATGGGCAAAACAAAGTAAGTGGAACAGAATTTGCCCCACCAGAAAGGTCAGTGCTAACACTGACACCCTAATTCCCCCTGGATATGGATTAGCAAAGCTGGATCACCTCAGCAGGTTTGCCACATACCCTGGCAATGTTATCGTGTTTGCATGTTAAAAAAAGATGGGTTTTGCCAAAGGAACCGTAGTGATGTGTTTGAAGATTCCTCTCCAGAATTCACATGGAAACTGCTACTGTTCCTGTGGACATGATGGATCCTTGTCATGGTTTACAGTGGTTATAGGTGTCGCTCCTACGAGCCTAAATGAGATCAGGATAAAACTTGGTGAGTTAAGTCTCAGTCTCTTAACTCAGAAAGAAAACAAAGAAGAAATGCATCCTGAATGCCAACTCCCTTGATCCACAGGTTCATTTAACACACACATGTGCAGCTGGGCATCAGCTCTTCCTTGAGATGATGAGCAAAGGTATCACAAAAGTCTTTTTATTTAAGCCAGCAAATGAAGCTGCTGAGACAATGGGGAAGGTTGCCACTATATATCAATTGCAGATTCAGGAATCACTGATAAAAGAAGTCAATACGTCAATCACTGCAAACATAAGAAAGATGAAGAACCACTGGCTTGAGCACTTGCTGCTATTGCAATAACAGCTATACTGGCAATCCCTCCAAAATGGGTCTTCAGCTCACACTGACAGGAGCTCTTTTGTCAGTAGAGCCTAAACCAGCTCCAGACACTGCATCAGCAAAAAGCACTTACCTGCCAGCCTAGCTGTGCTCACGCAAGGGCTTTTGCAGACAGAACTATGACAATTAGGAGCCAGACTTTCTTCATGTTAAAACTGACATACCAACAATGTATCCCTGTATGGGCTAAAACTTAAGCAGCTCATTTAGCTTCCCAGAATTTTAGATTTCAAACAACTAGTTCCGTATGAGTATGTGTGTATGTAAAAGATAAAGCATGCAAAACCACTACAAATACTCAGCTTTTGTGCTTGGAATGATTGTACATTAACTCCAAGCAATACATTCATCATAGTTTCAACAACTTCAAAATAAATTTGGTGCAAACCAGGGGATGATGGCCATAGGAAAGAAAAAAGAATGTCACTAGAGAAGACTTTCTCATCTTTTCTAACGCATTTTATGCTTTTGCATAGAAGACAGCGTCCTAAATCAGTTTATATTAAAACCATCTTCAAGACATTATGATCCGAACCTGCAAGTCTGGACACATGTAATTGCAAGTGCTGTCACCTCTTACTAGAATCAGGGGACACAACCTACAGACCTTTATTTGCAACCGTAATAACATGTTTCCTACCATGACTCCAAATAAAATTTAGAGAGATTTGGCAAAGGAGTGAGGCTATGCAGGATTAGCCCCAGTTGAACAGAAATGTTCCATGTCTCTTCAGGTATCTCTAACATTCACACAGCTCATCTTTTGTTATTGGGAAAGGACTGGACTTAGCAAGCATAACATGCAATCACAACAGTGTACTGTAAAGAATCATTTCCACAGCTAGGAGTGAGAGTAAGAGTATGTGACAGAAAGTGAAGAGAGTTTACAGAGAGCACTACTGAGCACCTTGGCGACATGGCATGGGTGACAGCATGGTTATGCAGAGAGCCTGACTTAACGGGACACAAGGGGCCAACCCCAACCCTTCTGCAGGGACACAGCCTTCCTGTCAGCTAGGCATATCCCCGAAGTTAATGAGACCTCCCACGTGACTAGGGCTTTGCAGGATTACAGGCAATGTTTGGGATAAGAAGGAGGAGGATGTGGTTTTTAACACACCTGGTAATTTTAAAATAGAAACAATTAATTGCTCATTGCTTCAGTACTATGCAGTGAGCAATATGTTCCCAGTATTCACGGTAAAATAGCCCAAGCACATAAGTAAAGTGTATAATTTGCTTATTAAAATCTATTCAGACACTGACAGATCCCACACAAAGCCCATGCTGGTAGATAAATGTGCATGTATTTACTCTGTACATGACCTAGGGATCTGTTTCTGTCTTTGTTTACCCCATCAACACTGAAAAAACAGAGAGGAAAAAACCCAAAGGAATGGCAAATTCAGACTTAAAGAGACAATTTCTAAATGGCTCTCCAGACTGGCAGTGAATGCACCTGTCACTTACTCTTATGGCACACTTAAGAGAAAAATGAGAATAAAACTCTTCTCCAAGAATGGCGCTTTTTGACCGGCTAATTACCGCTCCCGTCCAGTCTGCAACAGAGCTGACTTCACACGAGAGCCCCGGGGCGCGTCTCCATCTTCTTGCCGTGCCCAAACTGCCGATGCAGGGGTGACGGCTGGGAGCAGATGAGAAGCAGGAGCAGCAGGCGCCAGGGGGGGAGGCAGCAGGGGCTCTCCTCCCCGTTCCCCAGCCTTACCTGGGCTGCCGCAGGCAGGGGCACCACGGCGTTCCTCCTGCGGCCCCCCACGCGGAACTTGGCCGCCTTGTAGATCTTCCAGTAGACAAAGAGCACCACGCAGAGGGGCAGGTAGAAAGCCCCACCAGTGGAGACGATGGTGTAGGAGGGCTCCTGGCTGACCTGACAGCGCTCCTGCTCGGGGCTGTAGGTCTCCCCCCAGCCGAAGAGGGGGGCGAGGGAGATGGCGGCGGAGAGCACCCAGGTGAGAGCGATCATGACGTTGGAGATGCGGCGGCGGGTGAGCAGCGTGTACTCCAGGTGGCGGGTGATGGACCAGTAGCGGTCCAGGGCGATGGCGGTCACGTTCCAGATGCTGGCCGTGCAGCACAGCACGTCGAAGCAGACCCACACAAGGCACAGCTCCCGGCCCAGCCGCCACCGCCGCCCGGCCGACAGCTCCTTCACCAAGCTCAGCGGCATCACCAGGGCCGCCACCAGCACGTCCGACACCGCCGTGGAGGCCACGAGGTTGTGGGGCACCCGGTGGAAAGCCTTCACTCGCAGGATGGTTGCCAGCACCAGCAGGTTCCAGAGGAAGGTGGCTACGGTCAGGAGCACCAGTAGGGTCAGGATGAGGACGGTGAAGATGGAGAAGGGCTCCCGACCCCTCCACGCGGTGCTGCCCACCAGCGCAGAGGCAGCCAGGGAGGCGTTGGCGTCCACGTTGGCCGACGAGACGTTGGCCTGACACTGGCCCCGTGGGGCGCAGGGGCTCGGGGTCTCCGCCATGCCCGGGGCTCAGCCCTTCACTGCTCCTGCACGCCACCACTCTCCCCCTTCCCACGCCGCCTGTAGCCCCCGGCACCGTCCCCAGCCCCGCTGCCGGCGAGCGGGAGCCCACACCGGGCCTCCCCTCAGCGGCTGCCCGCCATGTGCCGCCGCCTCAACGCAGCCCTCGCCCCCCCGCCCCGACCCCGGGCACCCGCCGCCCTCGCCCGCCGCTCCTCACGCCCATGCCGGGCGGCTGCGGAGGCTCGGCGGGGCCGCGGCGAGGAGCCGGCACGGGGAGGGCGGCACCGCCGCTCCCGCCCCGCCCCAGCGGCCGCCTCGGGGGCGGTGGCGGAGCCCCTCCGCGGCGGCCGGGCCGCGCCGGGGCGGGACAGGCGCCGCCTCCGCCGGCTTCTCCCCACAGCCCCCGTGAGGCGACGGGACACCCCCTTCTCCCCACAGCCCCCGTGAGGGGACGGGACACCCCCTTCTCCCCACAGCTCCCGTGAGGCGACGGGACGCCCTTTTCTCCCAGAGCCCCGTGAGGCGGTGGGACACCGCTCCCCCCCCCCCCCCCCCCCCCCCCCCCCCCCTTCTCCCCACAGCCCCCGTGGGGCGGGGGGACACCCCTTTCTCCCCACAGCCCGTGCCCGCCATGTTCCCCTCAGCGCTCCTACCAGAATGTCGCCTCTCCTCGAGCAAACGGCCCCTTCCCGCCGCCTGCAAGGTGGGTGATGGTTTTAGTACTGAGCACGAGTTATTTCTACGCAGCAGCGTTCAAATGGGAATTTTTCTAGTTCTTAAAAAAAAAAAAAAAAAAAAAAAAAAAAATCTGAAATTCTCTTTAAGTGGCCGGGAACATTTCCATCTTTATGCCTGATTCCGGGCAGCTTTACGGCACAGTTTCTCTACTATGGGCACGTGCCCAGCCTCTGAAAATGTGCCCTTCTCCTGGTCCTTTCCAGTAACTACCCTCAAGATCAAGATGTTTCAAAAATAATTTAAGCCTGTTACACAACCTCTTTTAAAGTCTGTAATAGATGTTAACAGGGTGGTATGCATAAAGGAGACACAGCAATGAGCTTTGTCACTTCCTGAGTAATAAAGGGTGACAAGTACCATGACAAGATCATATAGCAACCTGGATATTACATTTAAAATGTGTTTAAGGTATTATATCTAAGGTATTTGAGAGGTATCTTTCATCCCTGTTTTCATTCCTGGGGTCCTTTACAACCCACAACCAGCATTTCCACCCCCTTTTTTTCCCCTTAGCCTGTTACCAGGACAATTTCAGTGGGAGTTACTGGACAAAACACAGTCTCTTTTCCCTTACCAGGTCATATGGAGCTGTTGAGAAATCTCCAAAGGAGTCTGAAGTTGCAGAGGGTCAGAAAATAAGATCAAAGAAGGTCAGTGAAGTTTGTTTCCTTGCAAATAGCAGTACAGCTACAATCACAGACTGTAATGGGGCAGAGTTTGGGGGCAGGACGTTAGTTGCTCATTTTTGAGGTAGAGAAGAAGTATTTTCTGGGTCAGAATAATCCTGTCTAAATGAATGCTGCTCAAATCAATGTTCTTCACTTGCATTCCCGTTCACTGAAGAAACACCACCATCTGACAAAACACAAGCCTCTCACAGCACCACTATGTTACCCATACAAGCAGGGTCCAGCTTGGATTATTCAGGGATCCCAACTTCAAAAGTTGGAAGAATGATGAAATATTACAGAAATGAAAGACAATGCATGTAATCAGAATAACCAGGCTGTTTTGTGGTTAACTACCGGGTGCCACTTCACTTACCAGATGAACAATAAAGCAAATAAATCCTTTTCCAGGCTCTTAATGAAGACATGACTTTAGTTGTTCTTTCCTATAGTAATTGTAACAAGTGCTCTAGCGTAAGCCAGGAGCAAAGAGAAAACTGTCTGCATTACTTACCAGCTTTTATTATTAGGAGAAAAGGACTTCTGAGTGCTGAATATCTTGCATTTTGCCACTTGAGCTTCCAATAAGCAGAATCTGACAGAGCTTGTCAAGAAAAACCTTTTTACAACACTGCTGCAAGTTAAGCCTAAAGCAGCATCTGAAATAATTAGACACTGGTGAAAATTTGTCAGGGTTGGCAGATAGCATGTGACTGCTTCACAAGCAGCTTTGCATGCTTTGTCTTTATATTGCTTCTTTCTAATTTGTGTCTTATTTTGTTAGTTAATGCTACTTTTAAAATGCCAGCTAAAGAATCACTGAACAACACTTTATGCCTTTAAAAGACACCCAGACTTAAAAGCAGTAAGGGAATCAAGCAGATAAAAAAAAAGCTCTTTAACTTCTAAATGTTTCCACAATTGTCAGTCCAATTCTGTGAACTTAATAAAGGACTTAAATAACCTTGTCACAATTTGAATAATTCAGGTATTAAAGAAAGGCTGCAAACTAACACAACTCTGACTATCTTCACAAGTTTCATGTTTAGGGGCCCAGATGGGCCAGGGTATGATCTGTTTGTTCCTGCTCCTGCAGCAAATTAGGTTGTCTTTTTCTTGTGTGAGAGTACTTCGTTTGTGGCTTGTGGACTATGTGTGTGCCACCATTAAAGCAGCCCAGATGATCTCAAAATCTTCCTTTCCTAGAAGCTGTGTTGTCCCGTCCCTCTACTCCCTCTATTTATTATGTGTATGTTAGGTGCCACATCCATGTAGTTACATTACAGTTCACATGTCAAATGCATTGAAATCTCCCACTTTTCCTCCTGCTTGGCTGAAATAACCTAGTCCTGTAACACAGAGGCTTGAATAAAGTCTCAAAGGGGGTTATTTTTTCTTTACAGTTACCCCACTGCTGTCTTGTCCTGTGAATGCAAATGCTTAGTGCTCATCAAAGACTGCTATGGCAACAGTCGCAGAAACCAGGGTATATTTCAAAAAAGAGAATAGGGAATTTAAAAAAATGAGGAGACTTGCATGTATTCACATATTCTAAATAACAGAAAAGCAAATAAATGTTGCATGAAATGATAAAATTAAAAAAAAAAAAAAAAAAAACACCGAGAAAGAGACAAACCAAAACTAAACCATACTTTTCTTCTACTCAAACTAAAGGATGATCTAGTTTACTTTCTGCACAGTTACAGTGTTACAAGTTGCTGTCATGTCAAAGTGCAATGAAAACAATGAAAATCCTTTGTTTCATTCACTGATATTTTTCAATGACTTCAGAAACTAGTCTGCATCTTCATAGTTTCTTTTTTCAATGAAGTATGGCAGTGTGTATCCTCAAAAGACAACTGATACCACCAACTGTTTAATTGCTTTTAAAGTAAGCAAATAAATATGTGACTAAGGACTTGGAGCTAGATGATAGAATTAACAGTAAATACAAAATAACATCATCTTTCCATCTGGATGTTTTGAGCTTTGTGGGCTGAGAAGTCTGAGGGATGTCAAACACAAAAGGGTGGAAAATACCAATCTGCTTATAAGTCTAAGAGCAGAAATACTTTATATCTTCCCTTGCATCTGTTCTCACTCCTCCATGGTGACCTGAGAATTGCTGAGAAAAGGACTTACAACAGAGGAACTGCAAAACATATTTCCTAGGCCTTATCACCTTACCAAACACCACCTGCAAAACTCACTCTTCTGGCTGTTGATGTCGAATCTCCTCAGACTCAGTCTTGTCATTTTTTTTTTTTTCTGTCAGTCTGAAAGTTTTTAACTTAGCTTAACCCTCCCCGCATCCTTACAATTCCTGTCCAAGCTCCCCTTTGTACAGCTGTGCTAAAGAAGCGTCTGTCTTCACCAGACAGCAGCTACCCGGGCCAGCTTCATTAGAGCTCTCTGCTTTCAAGCACTTTCAAGGACAGCATGCTGCTTAGGAACAGCTTTGGAGGATGATGATTCATCCAGATGACAGAATCTCAGCTCATTATGTGAAATGATGCTGTATTTTTTATAGCAAATATATAACATTTAAATATAGTTTACATTTTTCAGAAGTTTGCTTTTATCTGTTACAGATAGAAGCAGCTTATTTTTAGATGTTATAAAGGGACTAAACTGAACTTGACTGTTTTGAATCGTTTTCCAGTTGTTTTAAATACAAAAGTCCTATAAGAGCTTCTAGTAGCTGCAGTTTTAGTCCATCCTGTTCTCTTCTCTTTAATAGAAAACCAGCTTCCTTTATAAAGCATTTTTCAGAAAAATCAGTTATATAGATCCTGCAATTAATTGGATAAATATCCAGAAAAAAAATCAGCTCAAGGGAAAAACAAGCCCTCAAAAGCCCTTTGACAGCTGGTTTCATATTTTTATGACTGAAAATGTGATCGAGAATCTAGATGTCACATAAATGCTAGCTAGTATTGATTTTATTAATAATAATGAGCAAATCTTTGACAGAATAATTTACACTGAAATATCAGTTTTATGTAACCTATGAGGATGCGAGCCACTAAGTGCAAGATTTTCAAACACAAGGAGTGGTTAGCAGAGATGTGTACACCTGCGTGAATTAGGTTTACCACAGGGGTGTGTGCATGTATCTTAACATATAATGAGCCCTAGTACAGCTAAGGCCAACACATGAATACAACAGCAGCGGATTTGCTAACCTTAGGCTTTCCACCTGTTAAAACCGCCACATAAAAAACCCCCTCAATAGTCTATAGTTGAGTAAATCTAATTTGTCTGATCTTGACTACTGGCTTCTACTACTGCCAATGATCTTGAGGAGTCAGAATTTTTTTTTTTTTTTCAAATTATTATCTTCACTATGTACAAGACATGCGCTTTCTACTTGTGGATTTTAGTTTCTTTAAATGTCAGATTCAAAGTTATTTAGGAATCCACATCCATTGATTTGTATTTTAACTGATGTCCAAGAAAATTGCAGTGTCCAGATGCCTTTGACTCTCGTTCTATCTCACTTCAAACCTGTGCAGCAACTTTTTACCCATTTGTCTTAAATTTGGTAGAAACAGCCTTCTTTCCTTGTACAAAGTGTTCACAAAACATTCCCTCTATGGGCCACCTATTAGTACTAATTAATTCCACTGCCATTATAACATGAACATAAAGCAAGGCCTTTGTATGAATTTATCATGGGTAGAAGTCTGGAACGTGCATGTGTGTGGCTTACTTCTCTGTGCAGTACTTTTGAAAACACAAGTTTCATACCCATACTCAAATAATTATTTGAATGAGTTTAACATTAATTAAAACCTGTAAATCTTATTGATTAGTTTGTACCTAAACTAGCATTGGTGTTATTAAGTATCCTTATTTACAAATAATCCCTTGCTGAATTTATGTAAAGTGGGACAAAAAATTTTAGAGAGTTTACATAAAGTTATAGTAGCACATACTCGCAAAACACCAGAAGATTCTTAAAATTTTGCAGTGAAGTAGAAAATACAATGTTAAATACTCATTTAGCACTTCATATAGTTTTGTTATAGGCCATCTGCAGCAAGGGCTTAGAACAGGTCAAGGATTCTTCTCCTAGTGTGAAAGAATTACCTCTTTAAGTACTACAAGCCATTTGGCTAGTTTTTCCTCTATCACAATTACAAGACGAATGTATATATCAGTGAATACAATTTATGTGGAATGATGAAGTTGCTTTATGTTTTTTTTTTTATATATTTTGTTTCTTTTTTTTTTTTTTTTTTTTTTAAGCAGTATCATTTTAGAGTTACACCTATGCTCTCAGGTTACATTTTATAGGTATTAGTGTTACTATGTACCTTCATAAATTAATTCTCAGGTCTCTTAATAACAATTAGAGAAAGGTGCTGGGTAGAACTTACCTCCTACTCAAGTCTGTTTTCTCTTACCGTACAGAGAGGGCTTTATTAATTAGAAGTAGCAATATATCAGGAACACTTACCCAGTGCTTATAAGTAAGACTTAATAGTTCCTACAAATTCATATGGTTTGTCAACTCCTATGAGTGAACATCTAGATTTAGTTATATAGAGTAATACGTTTAATATCCTTGTAATTGTCAACATTCATAGGTGAGGACCTCAGAAAGCCGTGAATGGCTAAATATCTTCAGATGACAGCCAAAATAGAGAGGAGCATTTGGAATAAGTTTTGGAACTGTTATACAAGATTTTGCAGAGCCTATGATTTTCTTCTTTTTAATTCTGACCAACCAGGAAAAAATAGTAGGTGGTTATGTTTTTCAGTGCTGTAGCTTACAAAAGTGTTTGGGAAGATGGACTGCTAGTGCAGAGTATGCTCAGATATTTTTTTGAAAGGTGAATGCAGTTCTTAAGCTGGATGACACCGATATAACAAAGTGAGTGTGTGTCTAGACAGCACCCCAATTTTCCATTTGTCTTCCATTCTCTTAATGGCATCCTTCCTCTACCTCTCCTCACAACTCCATATCAAAAGTTTATCGTGGTGGCTAAGAGAAGAAAAAGAAAGGTAATCTCTTCCCCACGTGGCTGTGCAATAAAGAGATTTGACACAAGCAGCATTATAGTATTTATGACTTTGATGCAAGCCAGCAAATTTTTTAGAAGCAAAGAGCATTCCAGTTCAAGAGGCTGGATTCTTATTTTCGCAGCTCAACATCTTCTATAAATCTAGAGCAAACAAAAGCATCAGCAACAGTTGCATGAATTCTCCTGTCAAACCACGCAGCTAAAATCCTGAGGAGAAATCAAGCTAGTATAGCAAAAGTCAAGAGCAGAGACATTTTATTCTGCATGCCTGGCCAGTTGATTCTAGGCTTCTTTCAGCATTGTTGTTTTGATCTGAAAAAAACAAAACAAAACAAAACAACCAACCTACCTTTTAAGGGCTAATAACTGGCTCTTTTCTAGTTACGTTTTTAGATCTCTGTAAAATCTGTTCTAAGTTTTGGGGGGTTGAAGTAACTGGACAACTATCTCCTAAACAGGACAGCTGTAGAACTAAAACCAAGTCACAGACCTGTCCTGTATCCTGCCAATACTCTGCCTTCCTTCACAGTGGGAAGAAATTGGAGACCTCTACTAAAATGTTATTTATTTTTAATCATATAGTCCTTTTCATCCTTTCCTGTGAGAGCTTGCTTCCCCCAGTTTGAAAGCAAATCATTAGCATATCTAAAGCTTTGGTAGCTTACTTAAATTGAGTCATCAACTCATACATGAAACAAAAAGACTAATTCCTGCCAAAACATAAACATACTTCTTATTTACAGCAGACCTAAGTAGATAGTATTCTTGCTCTACACTGTCAACATACATGCCCTCTACCTGTGACATTCACCCTGAAAAATTTGATGGCAACACTTTCTGACTAGTCTTGTGCTTGTCTGTAACTCGGCAGCGTTATGGCACGGGAAACTCATGACAAGATTTTTCATGATTATGAGCAGTAGCTTGGCAATGGAATTCTCCTTTATGGGCCTATTCCAAGAACTGTCAAAAAAATCTTCCAGTTCAAGCAGGACAGTTTTGATCACCCCCTTAAGTGGTTTAAAGAGTCCAATTTCTTTGTCAAGGTTCTCAGAGAAAGAAGGCAATTTCTCAAGGCACACAATATTGGTCCCCAACCTATCAGTCACTGTTATGAGACAAGCCTTGAGAGTCTGATGGCTGAGGTCTATTAACTGCTCACAAGATTGATAACAGGGAAAATTGCAAAGGAAACGTTAGATTTCCAATCAGTCTGACAATCTTTTAAACTTCTTGCAATACCATAGAATAGATGCTGCCTGATACACACAGGTATTTCATCAGAAACTATTTTTCATTTTTAATTCCATAAACAAAGAGAAGGTAGCTGCATCTGCACAAGCCAGGGAGCTGAAGCCTTTCTCTTTCAATTCTCATATAATCTCAGCTCGGGAATTTCTCTTCTGCTTAATCAGGAATTTACAGTGTGAAATAGCAGACTATGTAATTACTATAGACTGTGCAGCCATTATATATCTATAATGTTTAAGTAACTGTTAATTTAAGTAACTGTTAACTGTTTTCTGTGGTTATTTTGTGGGGTTTTTTAGAGTAAGCTAGTGCTACTCTAGAGCAATACCATCTGGTCTTTTAATCTTTCTTAGATGAGATTATTTCAAAGATCTCTTTGCATTAGTATATATAAGAAAATGCAAACCAAATATACTAGGGAGTAGTTGTGCAGACTTGTACCAAACCCAAATTTTTCAGTTGTCTTGTCCTCATATCAGCCTTCAGAAATTGACAGTGCCTCAACTCTTCCAAAGAAAAAAATTGGGTGAAGCTGGAGGTTGTCTAGCTGCAGGGAAAGCAGTCAGCCCTCTGGATGAGCAGCAACAGAAAAAAACAGTTCTCTGAGAAGCAGATTTTTGCCTGCCTACCTAGAGAAGTGGCAGGAATTCTGAGGTGCTTTTAAGCCCAACCAGTTCTGGCTCTGCAGCACATGGTCAGACAGGCGCTCACTGACTGTGCCCATCTCAGCTTTTTTCCTGTTCCAAACAAATACTCCACGCTACTTCATTCACACTGCTTGTACCCACATAACCATGCTCTGATCTTTACAGTGGTTTAGTGCAGCTTTGCTTACATCTCTCTCCAAGTAATTAATTTTGCAGTTCATCTAAGGAGTCCCTCTGAGTTAATGTCACCATCATGTAAGTTAATTCCTGTATAATAGCACAGCTGGCAGGTGTACACAGAACCCTTCAACTCTATGCTGCTGCAGATCTCAGAATTCTTAAAATGTACTATTAACACACAGCCATGAGATCTATTTTGATATCCGTTATTTATAAATATATAAGCAAACCCAGAATCAAAGATTAGAACTCAATGAGCTAGGCATCACATACTTAGTATTGCTTACACTTCAGAGCAGATTTTGCTTTTTCATTGCAACCCTGGAAGCATAAGACATTCAACTCCTAGTAACAAAATTAATCTACCTAAATATTTTGACATAGCGATAGTTGTTAGTATCTGACCAATGTTAATTAAGAGTCGCGGAAAGTCCATTAGGCTTAAAGTCAGCTGTTTCACAAAAAAGGGGAAAAAAAGCAACATTCCCAGTTCTGAATGGTGAAAGTACTAACAACAGATTGGTCATACTATTTTCCCCAAAAAATGATCTGGTTTCTCCAAGGGTGAAAAGAAAGTTCACCAGTATTTTTCGGCAATACCTCAATGAACATATCAGTGTTAAATCTGACATGCTACTTCAGAAGACCTAAGGAATTACACTCCATTTTATACTGGAATAACTACATATGCTTTTGGATTCCTAATTGGTCCTGGGTTATGTTTTAGAGGTAAATTAAAAGCTGGTTTACTGTGATCACATAGGGCCTAGATTTCTGGATTCTGTGACATTTCAATATTTTCCTGCATTGATGTACATTTTTAAAATACTATTGCCCCCCACATTGTAGCTTCCTAAGAAGTTACCTACTTCCACAATGGTAGATACTAAAATAATATATGTAATATAGTTATTCTACTTTTGTTCAACTTGGGTATTCTTTTTGTACTTAATCTTCATGTTTGTTCTGTGTGCAATGTGTATTCCACCCTCTTCCATTTCAGTCTGTTTCTCCCTCAAAGTATCCTTCTAGTATATTTATACCCCATTTCACTTTTTCCAGTTATCAAGTCTCTCCACCCCCTCAATCCTGTAGCAGTACTTTGACTTTGCCCATCACTGATCTGATAAACTAAGACTAAGAAGCAATTCAGTTTTGTAATTTGCAAGATACAACTGCAAAAATTCTCACTGCATCAAGGTTATGGAGTATTTTAAAAAACATTATCTGGGCCGAGTGCTTCAATTTATGTAATCTGCTTTTCTTAATTTTCTTTGCATATACATAAGAGTACACTAGACATTACCAGATGGATAAATTCAGATTTAAAGAGAACATGAAGGAAAACCAAACATTTCACTAGCATGTTACCATTTTATCACACAAAAGAAACAGTATTAAGCATGTCTCAGAGGTGGTGTAAGAGATATTTTTTTTTAATCTCGGACACTGTACTTGTTATACAGATACCATGACTGAAATTAATCACCAGCTCATACAGCCTTAATTATTCATAGGTATCCTATGTTCTAAAGGAATCTTCCTATATTCTTCAGCATATCTGATGGACAAACCAGAGTTCTATAGCACTAAAACCCCTTGCAATGATTCATGTGAGCAAAATTTTTTTATCTCACACTATTCTGTCCTTGTGTTGTCTACTCCAACAATTTTCAGAGGTGTGCATAGAAAAAAGTGTAAAACAGATTCTTCTATAAAATCTAAAAGTATTTTTACTTTCTTTAATAAAAAGCTCTGTAATATTGACTTAAGATAACTATATGCAATTACCTTCTTCCTTACAACAAGTATGGCAAAACTAGCTGGCCATATTCACTGTCTTTAGTCTCCCTTCCAGAGTCTTCCTGAATTGAAAAGATAAAAGATGATCCCAGAAACAAAACCATAAAGACCCCCCAAAATGCGAATAGAGTAGTTTAAATTGGAAGTAACTGTCAGAGGGTTTTGATCCAGGTAGTCTATTCCAATGCCACAAACCATTTTAATGAATGTATGGATTAACGAGAAAACTGCCGGCTGTCTGATTTCTTGCTAATGTGCTTGAAGATTTTAGCTTTGTGGACATTCTTCGATTTCTGGTAACCAAATCCCCCACCTCCACCTCTTTTCTGCAGTCTTCTGCCATGGTTGCTGTTCACATCTGGAAGTTTATTGGTTAAAGAACTTAAAAAGGAATAATTTGAAATGTTGCATTTTAGGTATTGTAAGGGTTATTAACATGAGAAAAATAGCAGCATTATACAAAAAGTTGAGTTGCATAACTACAGACGAAACTAGAACTTTGTGCCTGTGGTTCTAAATAATGCCTTTATTCCTCCAGTTGACCAGCTAAGCTCGTGAAAGTATTACTCTTTCAAATTCCATCCACTGGCAGGTCTGACAGTAAATCTAGACAGTCTTCTATTCCATGTTCTTGCCCCTGTATTTCAGTATTCCATGATTATTAAACTTAAGCACGTACCTTTCTGTGACAATAATTTCGCATGGAGAACAGTACTCTAGAACATGTATGCATTCCAGCAACAGAAGCACATACAGCACGTACATGCACTAAAGCACGGATGTTTTTAGACAATTTTTGCAGTTTTAATATTTGCTTTTAACATTTTAGTTGATAAACTATTGTTGGAGCATGAGGCATTTATGTGGCTAATAGCAAAATAAAATAATCAGTATTTCAAGTAGCACAGGAACTTCAGTAAGTTGCATTTAACATTTATAATGTAGAAATTCAGCTTTGAAACACTGCAGTAAAAGGATACTGAGGTCAACAAACGGCGGAACTTTAAAACCAAAGGAAAGGCTGACTTTGGGAAGATCCAAGTTATTGACATCATAGATCTGCTTCAGAGAATGTGAGTCATAAGCTCTAATGTAAGCTTTGTATGCTTCCTGGGCTGACTTGTGAAGGAAGTAGTTCTTCTCAATCAGTTTTTCCAGCTGGTGAGGGGGGAAAAACCAAAACAAACAACAAAACAAAAGACACATCCAATTACAGCTGTAACAAGTATACAAATTATATTCAAGCAGATTATTTACTGTGTGAGTTGCAGTGACATTCACTATTCACTTCAGCCAAATTGCCCTGTGACAGTAAAGTGTACATACATATATCAGAGTGTTTTTATAAACAGAGGGACAAAAAAAGCCTGAGGCTGAATTACAGTACAAATCCTCAGCAACATGAAAATTTACAGAACTATTAAATTGGGTTGTCCGAAACAAATTAATCAAGGCATATACAACTGCAGTCATACCCTGAAACTATGCGTATTGAAAATTAACAGACAATGACAGTATACTTCTAAAGTCAGACATCTAAACTGTACCATTCCATGTAATTCTACACATAGTCTTATCTATTATGGTGCAAACGGATTGTTAAAATAAGACTGTCTTCACTGCTTCTTGTACTTGCTATTTCAAATTTAAGTAACTGCAAAGAAGCTTTCCAGAGCTCTTGTCAAAAGAATGATTCACAGAACTGAACAATAGAAATTCACATCTACAGAACTATCTGAACTACTCTATTCAACTTTGTGCTCCATGATGATTTTTGAAGCACTGGAGCACAAAACAGGTTTAGCCAATGATGAGCTTTATTAACACCAGCTAGTTAAAAATACACCTGGACTATATACTAACATTTCTGAGTGTCAGTACTGGATCTCTTTCTGCACACTGAAGCCTGAGTAAATCATCTTATGAGACATGCATTACTCACAATTAATCTGCATATATGTAACTATTCAACAAAAGCTACTGAAACCCTGTGTGTTATGCCAGGCAAGAATATTCTGTTCAAAAGTTGAAAGAAGGTTTACATCACTATGGTTTTGCAATGTAATGCAGAAAAAATTCTTACATGCAAATTTGTACCGTATAATGATGACAATTTAGTACTAGACATTAAAATTAATCTTAAACTTCTAAACATTTTATCACTTTACTCTCATCAAGACACAGTATGGCAGGATTTACCGCACAGTACTCATCTGCAGGAAGTTTTCCAAACAAGCATACATATTTCTAAACTGCAGTTGTTATAGACAAACATTCTCTGTGTAAATTATTATACAGATATTTTGAGTAGCTGTAGGATGAAGTAATTTCATACCTGAGACTGGATGTCTGAAATTTTTGACCAAGAAAATTCAAATTCACTCAGTGGAACCTTAAAAAAAAAAAAAAAAAAAAAGAAAGAAAAAAGACATAAAATATCAAAAGTACTTATACTGTGTAAATAGTGAGTATGTTTAAGACCTGAAACAAATAGAAAAAGAGCTGCTAGATAACAGATTTTCTTTTTATTACCACAGCTGTATCTGTAAAGTGCCTTTAAATTAATATGCCAGTATTATCACTTCCTTTAAGCTAGAATAATAAAGATGCTCAGTATGACACTTTTACCACTTTAGCTTTTGGTTTAGAAGCTATACCACTGTAGTTACAAGTGGCAAAACTCTGTAAACAAGCCCATAAGGACAGCAGGAAAAACTATGTGCAGACTACATGTAGAAGGAAGCTACGCTTCTTTTGGAATTTAACAAAATACAATTGACTCTGAATAGGAAAAACAAAAACTGCACAAGCAACATCCGGGTTTTAATTTCCTCTGGATGGTCAAACTCCCAGTATCCTTCTACAAAGAGGTCATAGGAAATTTATTTATTTTTTAGTAATGCACACTGCACAGTTGCATTATAATTACACTCAATATTTAGCTTTGTGCTGACTTTAGACTTTAATTCAGATGCCCAGTTCAATATTTTCTACGCAACAGAATGTTTTTTTTCTTAAAAAGTTAAAGTGATTGATTATTCAGTGCAGTTTCTGCCTTTAAAAAAACGCTGCACAGTGGAAAAAAAGAAGCAATCAAAAAAAGATCTTGACGTAAGTTTACCCTGGCCTGTTTTAGGTAACGAAGAAAGCCCAGTTCTTCTGGTCGTAAAATGAGCAGAGCATGTCCTCTACCATTTATGCCTCTGGCAGTTCTACCAACACGATGAATGTATTCCTTTTGGAAAGAATAAGAAACAGCAAGATCAATCAGTCTTTAAAAAATGTAATTATAAAACAGCTTCGCAACCCCCACCCCAAATTTAACACTAACATAATGTAATGCAGCATCCATTATTTAAGACTTCTTAGCACAGACAAATGCATGAGGGAAACCAAGTGCTGAAGATGCAAAGCCTAATGCTGAGACAGAACCCCTGACTATTAGTATTTTACTTTTACTGTAGGAAAAAATATTAGTCTGCTGTGACTGAAAACTAAACTTTGCTTTTGGTATATTTGCCATGTGTATTTGTCAAAACTTATCAGTATTCTGAGTTTTGCCTGTTTACACTGGACGCTTATTCAAATAAGAATACTGACTTTCAAATAAAAATCAAATTTCCACTGGAAAAGCTGTCAGGAGACTCAGGGATGGATATATGAACTCATACTCCTCCTGAGAAGTGTTTTGTTGTATAGCTGATTAGATTTTAAATTAACAGCAGAAAGAATAATGATTTGAAAAGCAACTCTTAAAAGGTTAATGAAGGTCTCAGCTAGGTGCACATTGACCTAGGAGCTGGTGAAGGGAAGGGGAAGAAATCAGCGATTAAAATATGAACATGGCTGAATCTTGGCCTCTGTTAAGCAGCAGTTTCAGCTTTTCTTTGCAACTATGTTTGTAACTAGGATTTGATTTGTGCCTGTGAAGTTTCTCTATTTTCTTAACTTACTTTTGGATCATCTGGTGGGTCATACTGGACAATCCAGTCAACTTCAGGAATATCCAATCCTCTAGCAGCTACATCAGTGCACAACAGTATTCCAGATTCTGCATTACAGAACTGGAAAAATGTTGTAGTACGTTTGGTTTGTTTCTGCTTGCCCTAAAAGGAAACAAACACATTACGGATGAAATATCAACTAAATAATAAGTTAAACAATAAAAAAATCTGCCACCTTGTAAGCTTAAATCTAAACTCCTATTTCACATATCATTGCCAAAACCCTAAAATAATTTGGGGCATCATTCCATATCATGGACCTGTATAGACCAAGCAGGACCATTTTGCATTGAACAATGCTACCACAGTCAACAGCACAAGGCTACCTGAAGTGGGATCTCTCAGAAGTTACACTGTATATTCCAAAGCTTTAAAAATCTGGTTGCATAAGCATTCTTTTCAGGAGGGCTGTATAAATGCCTAAAGTTGAGAAAAAGGACGTTTGCAAGACTAGCAATATGTTACGACAGATTACAGGTTAAAAAATATAAACAGCCAAAACCATATTTGTAACAATTCTATCAAAGTATAGCGAAAAAAAATCCCCAGAAGAACAACATAAAAAAGGACATTTGCAGTCAGTTCTGTTTTCTAAATTTTCAATCAATTCTTTCTCCTACACTATGCATTTTGTAGTTTTTGCAAAAAGTTTAAAATACTCATCCAAATGGTAAGAATTGGCACAGTAAAACCAAACATTACCCTGGCGTTAGAAAAAGCACTCAACACTTCAGGGATCAGAGTGCTTGGATTCCTCCGACAATAGCTTTGCTCCACAATTTGAGTTTTAATGTTTATGAAAGGCAACCCCTGGGAAGAACACAGAAAGTTTTCTACACACAGAGTATAAATTACTATCAGTGTTCTGCCCTGGTTTGGAAAATAGCAGGATTAACAATACTGAAGTGTTGTTATTACACAGTCTTTGCTTTATCTCCTTCCTCTACAGACTAATCAAGATCATCATCAGTTTTGTGATCTGGGTGTCTGTTTATTAGAAACTGGACTGAAATAAACAAGGCAAACGTAAGGTCAGTAACAGCTTACAGGTACTATCAGATTAATTAAAAATAAATCAAAGAATAAAATACTTACATGTATGGCCAAAACAGGCAGATCAATATAGTTGAGTAATTCATAGTGGTACTTCACGGACATACACGAAGAAAAAAACACCATTAGTTTCTTCTTCCGGTTCTTCTTGAGGAATGTGAAGAGCAAAAGGAATCTTTTTTCAGATGGACACACTACATACCCCTGGAAAATTTTTAAATATTGTTAAATAAAGTAGTATAGAACAAATTTTTGTTTCAGCAATACAAGTAAATCAGGGAAGTGTTATGTTGTGAAACAAATATGCCAAACAGTTAATTTTTCCAGCTATATTGGGCCAAACTGTTCACTTTATCACCTGTACCTCACCTTGGTATATGAAACTCCTAAGGATTATGAATTTAGCAAAAAAGTTACTGTACTGACTTGAAATATGAAGAAGTAATTTTTAATTAATTCTCCAAACTACTGTCAGTTCACTGAAAAGTAGTTAGCTTATAAAATAAAAATTAATTTCAAGAACTCTGAATTACTGACATTAGTTATGAAAAAAACTGCACAGAGTTCTTAATGTTTTTTTATGACTTCAGGAATTTGAAGGAAATCTTGCTACTGGTTTAATCTTTCAAGGTAATACAGAGCTATTAGCAATTCTGTAGCAAGACTCATCATGTCAACTTCACAAACACAGAAACTGATGTGTACCTGAGGCAGCATGAATGAAACAGATCTAAACTATAGCTATCTCTGGTCAGTAATGTGAAAAATACAGTAGGAAAGACAACTGGATCTTATGTACGTAATATAGATTGGAGCTCAGGTATGTAATATAAATAGAGAAGTGTAAGCAACTATATTACTATTTCATGAGGTTTTATATCATCTATTCTGCAAACATGGACTAGATGCATGTAACTGACTATAGTTAGCAGACTGAATAAAGCCCTTTAAGCAACAGATAGCTTTTGTCCCTAAAGGATGGCAGACACCCTTTATGACAGTGTACAACCCAGTTAAAAACACACAGGACTTGCTGTGTTAACAGATCATACCCCTTTTAATAACATCTATGTTTTACCTGTTCAAGACCATCTACTGTTGCTGTCTCCTTGTTATCATCAACCCCAACATATAGTGGCTCTTTCTTCAGAGAGATCTTTGCCAGATCTTCAACCTTTCTGGTTTGTGTCGCAGAAAAAAGCATTGTTTGTCTGCGCTCTGAAAAAAATATTTATTTTCTTTTTTTAAAGGAAAACTGAAATAGCAAGTCCATAAAATCTCTAGCTGTAAACCTCCCTGAGGAGGGGAATTTTTTCAATTAAATTTTAATTCAAACACACTGCTACTGACAAAGAGAGGTGTAGTTGTATTACAGATTGTACAGGATGTTTACTTAGGCTGTCTTCATCCTCAAAATCCTAACAGCTATCAAAGCACCACATTTTTTCTCCTTGGGAAAATGTTAATCATCATTTTCACTCCAATTTAGACACAAACCAGTGATTTAAATAGAGACCGACCCTGTAATTCTAACTATAAATTGATTTAATTGACCTGAATATTAAAATTAAAAAAATTCATTCTAGAGACTGTGCAAGAAAAAACTCACCAAAACTAAAGTGCAAAATCAGTCTAGAACATACACATTTGTTTATGCTATGTAGTCACATGGCAGTACGTTTGTACTGAGCCTCAGTGGCTTCAGTGCTCTTCGAGCAGGTGTAGAAAATCTGCCCACCTAACATCTCTCAGCTCAAATATATATCCTGATCCTGTAACATTTTCTTGTTAGACAAGTAAATTGAGAATATAGTTAAGCAATAAAAAAAGACAGCCTGTTCCATTTCACAGCTGCAAGAACAGTAGCATTTGTGTTGCCCAACAACCATTGCCACCATTTTTGATTTTTTTTTTCCTGTTTTGTTTTAAAATGTAATTTCCTTTCTAACAGGACAGAAACAAATTAAACTTATGCAAACTGAAAGTTCCTTTGATATATCATTTTCCATTTCATGAAGAACATGTCACCTTCCCACTCTTCCTTCTCTTTCCGCTTTTAGCACTGTTCATCAACACTCTTCACAGGATGTTATTTATTGTATTATTCAGATCTGCATTTTAAACATGCAGATCTAAATTTTAACATTTTAGATGTGGAATCTCAAAATATTCATCACTGATTTTTTTATATTTCCATGGAGGGGGGGCTTTCTGAATGTTGAAAGTTAAAGGAAGAGCCTTGTTGACTCTGAGAATGTGTTTCATACATTATTTACAAAGAATAACCAAATGAAAGACGAGGAAAATAATATTTTAAGATAAATACTTAAACTTCCTTAAGATACTGTTTTTGGAGGTAAGAAGAAAATTTGAACTGCAAGTCAGAAGACCTTTTTCCTTCTATTTAAGCCTTATTAGGAAATAAAGAATTGTAGGAAATAAACAGGCAGAAGATGAAGGAGAGAATGTAGATGATAAACTAAAAGGATCTCATATGAACAGAATTATATTCCGAAAGTACATATGAAATCCCTGTCTTTCAGATAAATGATGTTAAAGTAATATATACTAGCTATCAGAAAAAAAGGACAGAGTAAGACAATCCCTCTGAAGTGCATTTACAGAACTATAAAAATTAATGACTTCTCTTATAATAATTGAGTCATAAAGAAGACATAATGTTAGTCAAGTGATTTCCAGGAAAGACAGACTTTTTTTTTTTTGTTCTTACTTGGTAGAAGTTTTATGATCTGTTTCATTTCTTCTTCAAATCCAACCTCCAAGATACGATCCGCCTCATCAATTACCAAACACTGTAAGTTCTTGTACATGAAACCTGGAGTGTTCTAGAAGATTAACAAATTCAGAATCAGACAGGGACAGCAGTTTTATTGGTTTAATAACACAGATTAGACATCAATATTTTATCTACCTGCATATGATCCAGCAGTCTTCCTGGTGTTGCTACAATGATGTTGATTCCATTTCCAAGTTTCTGTGCTTCTGCTGATCTGTTACTGCCTCCCATTATCAGACCATAGGTGTGAACATGATGATTCATAAGTTCTTTCAGAACTCCATAAGTTTGCATAGCAAGCTCTCGAGTAGGAGAAAGAATAATAACTCCTGTTCCTAAAAAAATACATCAGACAAGAATAAGTTACAATGTGTCCAATCCCCCTTCTAGGCACCTCCCTAAATGGCTGCACCACAGTAAAATTCAAATGTGAAATGAGAAGCCTTACCGTTTCTAGGCATGAATTTTAGCTTGTAGATGAGCTCTACTGCAGGAATAAGAAACGCAAGTGTTTTGCCACTGCCTGTTTTTGCAGCAGCTAGAATATCCCTGTATGCAGCAAAATTAGAAAAAGAAGTATTTAGCTGATTGTACAGAGAAAAGAACAATCCTATTTTGAACAATGCTGACAATGTAAAAGTATAACACGGCTTAAAGGGTACCAGTGGAGTTGGTATTACGAGCTCAGTGCAGATGGGGTCCACAGCAATTGGTCACTATGTCTCTAGTGACTGTGCGAGACAGTGCCTTTGAGACACACTGATAAGGCTAGTGAAAACAGACTTCACTGCTTTCAACCCCAAAGGCAAAGCTGTTTCCATGAGCTTACCCTAAGTATTTGTTCACATACAACAGAGGTATTTTGTTAACCTGTATTAATGTCTATAAACAAAATATATAAAACATATGAGAACACATCTTTAAAAAACCAACAGTTTATCTGCAGAAAGTCACACTTCACACATTTAGCTTCCTAGAAAAATTCACACATTTAGGGTCAATACAGACATATTTCTTACCTCCCTTCCAGAAGTGGCTTAATGCTTTTATGCTGAATTTCAGTCATGTGCGTAAACCCCATGTCATTTATGCCTTTCAACGTATTCTCACTGACAACACCAGCCAGGGAAGTAAAAGAATTGTCTTCAAAAGCACCTGAAGTGAGGGGAGAAAACATATTGAAACTTATTTCTTCAATCCTATCTGTCTTAAGATTACCCAGTTAAAACTGACCTAGACGAAAAAAAAATCAAAGCACTTTTTCTTATTCCTTCCTACCATAAAAATCCAAAGACATTAACAAAATACTCTGTGTTAATGTGCTCCTAAGAATTCTACACAGAGCTGCTAAAAACGCACTGCTTCTCCTGCCAAATTTTTACTAGTCATACACCTCCATCTTGTTCATCATCGACATTTTCCTCTACAATTAAACATATGTATATATGTTTTAAAACAGATTTTCACTAGTAATTTTAAGTCTAATAGAAATGTGTATATAATGCAAATTTTGAAGAACAGTAACTCAGTAATAGCTGCACAGTTGCCAGCATTGTGGCACCTATATTCAAACACTTGACTTATAAAGCTAATTTTAAAACTGTAACTTTCTCTGGAAGAAAGTGTTAGACCTTGTATTTTTGCACACGTATGAAAAAGAGAACACAACGTACCTGTCACACCTAGTGGTAAATTGGGCACTTCATTCTCCTCCCCCTCTTCCTCTTCCATTTCTTTCTCTCCAGAATCCTGTTTCTTTTCATCTTCTACCTCCACAGATTCTTCTTCAGTTTTCACTTTTTTAATTTCTGTTTCTACAGCATTATTTTATAGAAGACAAGTAAGTTAGAGACAAGAAAGACACGTTCATCATTAAAAGCTGCTCCACAGCGTGAATTTCTTCACTCTGTAAGTCACTCACAAATATCATGCTTTTTTCGTGGGGTTGGAGGGGGGCAGGAGAAGGGGAAGCAAGATTTTTCCGTGAGACATTCTGAGGCTGGGAACAAAACACTCAGAAGTTCCTTGCACACAGTCTGCTTTGCACAGTAAACCAGTGAAGCTTAATGTATACTATATGAAATGTTCTGTGGAGATGAGCAACAAGTTACAAATTTTTTTTCCTATCTGTAATGCAGACATCAAGTTTCCAACACCGTTTGTGCTCAGGTCATGTGAAATGTTCTGTCCTGAGTACCTGAATCCTCAGAGGACTGCATGTGAACTTGCATAACTGTGAGAAGTGTCACGATGATCAAACACGTAAGAGATAGAATTTTCAAATATATAGATATATATGCCTACAAAAATATACAGAAATCTAGCAATATTTGCAGGATGCAATTTTTGGGGGTAGTTTCCCAGTATACTTTCATTCCATAACATACAGGCTGGATGCATTGCCACAAAGCCATGTTGGCTGAGCATTCCACGCAGAAACCACCCGCCTGCCAAAGCTCTACTTTGACAGACAGCACCTACAATTTGTCTGACAAACAAGCAAACCACCTAAACTTAACGTTACCGAGCAGAATCCTATGCAACGATTAAACTGGTTGCGAGGGGTTCAGTGCACATCGGAATTAAAATGTTTCATGTGGAATAAGGAAGGGGGTAACACCATGGGCCTCGGGGGCTGTGAGGCCCACACCTCGTACTTCTCACAGGCCGGCCCACAAACCCTCTCCGACGGGGGGCAAAACGAAAGCAGCCGCTTTCTGGGGTCTCCGAGAGCCACTCGCCCTGAGGGACAAGTTGTATTTGTCAAGACAACGCACCGTCCCCCGCAGCAGACGCCGCTTTCCTCTTCTTCTTCCTCCTCTTCCCCTCCCCGCCGCGGGGGCCGGCAGCATCCGCGCCCTCCCTGCCCGCCGCCTCCGCCGCCTCCGCCGGGGAGCCCTGAGGTGCCGCCTCGCCGGGCGGAGACTCTGCACGGCGCGGAGATACATTCCGGAGAGAAACGGGGGGGGGAGCAAAAAAAGAAAAAAACAAACCGAAATCAGCGACGGCTCCGCGAACGCTCAACCGGGGAGAGGCTCCGCAGGGCCGCCCGCTCGCCCCCGTCCCCGCCGTACCTTCCCCCTCGGCCGCCCGCAGCTTCAGGTTGCGCTCCCGCAGCTTCAGGTTGCGCTTGTGGATCTTGCGGCGGAGCAGCCGCATGGGCAAGTTGCCCGCGGCCACCGACACCGACCCCGACCCCGACATGCCGCCCGTCCGCCGCCCGGGCCCCGCCGCACGTGGGGGAGGGCGGCGCGGCGCAGACCGGCGCCGCCGCGGAGCCTGACGGGCGGCCCGCAGCGCCCCCTAGCGGCCCGGCGGAGGCAGTGCGGCCCGGCGGGACCCGCGGCTCCCCAGGAGGCTACGGGGGAAATGCCCGCCTTTCGGGGGGGGGGAGTCCCCGCCTCTCGGGGAGGTCCCCGGACCTCCACCGTGTGTTCTGCCGTGGGCCCTTGAACCCCCGCACCTCAGCGAGGGAGGGCGGAAAAGGCGCCGATTTACCCTGAGGAAGGCAGTCGCCATCTCCGCCACAGACACCCGCTCCCCCCCCCCCCCCCGCCCCACAGTGCCTGTTTGCGCGGTGGTGCTGCCTCTACTCATGGTTTAACGGGTGTTTAACTCCAACGGGAGAAACGCTCCCGAGCACACACCCCCCGCCCCCTCTGCTGTTCCAAATTCAGCACCTGTGGATGGTTTTGGGGGCGCCCTGCGTCGCCCTCTTCGTGTGCAGGCCGGCGGGGCTGGGCGCACCACTGTGTGCCCCACAGGGCTGCCAAACCTCAGCCCAAAGTGGAGCTCCCCACCCGCCGTGGGCTCCGCTGGCACCCCCGGGGCAGGCACCGCGCGGCGACTTCCAGCACGAAAACTTGGTGAAACTTTCGGGCTTACAGATTCCCCAGCACCGACGCTGGGGACAAGGGTCACAGCTGTGCCTAAGTCCTGCATCTTCGGTAGCCACCCAGTCTGCTGTCTGTTCCCCCCGATGGATGCAAAAAACATTGAAATTCCTTGGATTTTCACCAGCCTGGCAGCTCTAGGGAGCAGGCCAAATCTGGGAGCCCGTCATTTCCAGCGCACGGTTTCTTGGAGCTCTGCTAGGCAGGACGCGCCAACTTGAGCTCCCAGTTCCACCTCGATTCCAGCGATGGGCAGCAAGGCCTTATCTCACAGTTGTCCTGCTTTTTGGCTCTGCATTCCCTTCCCAGGAGCGATTCCCACAGGCTGCCATGCGATGCCCTTCGGCCCCTCCGTTGCCAGCAGATGGCACAAACAGAACAGGAATTTACAGCGGATCGCTTTGATATCTTAAACCAGTAACCACCGTGTTCTTAGAAATCTGAATGACTACAAACTGTGTCAGGTTCAGCCTGCGATACCTCGCTGTAGTGCAGAACAAACTGCAGGACTATTACTATACTAATTTCGAAGTGTTTATTGCATATAACATTTGTTTTTCAAAGCTGCTGATGTTAGAGATAGAGCAAAAGTCATTTTTCACCATCAATAATTGTTGTCTTGCAGAGGTCAGAGGGATCACCAGTTTGAGAATTAAATTTGTTTTGCCAGAACTACTGAATATGAGCCACGTGGTACTGCCCAGACTTTAACAGACTGGATAACAGGTCTGGCCACTGTCTTACTAAGTTGAAAGGACAGCTGCCATCTCCATCAGCTGTATTTGAAAATAAACTAAACCATATTCAGCAAGAATGGCTTTTGGTACAAAACTCCAGGGCAACTCAGTTCAAGGCTGAATTTTAAGCATGTAAAAGTTCCTCGTTGCAACTCAGTGTAATTTAGGTTCTGGACATATTTTCTTCCCGGTTATCTTATATTGTGTCTGCAGAATATATTTTTAAGTAAACACAGGCTTGCTCTTCCTAGTCTGTACTGATTTATATGTATGTGACTAGGTTTACTCTTTGGATCCAGTTTTAAACCAGCCAGTGCTTCTTTCTGGAATATGTTCAATTGTGCAGATAGAGTCAATAAAAAATTAGGGCAGAAGGGAGCTGCTACTAATATTTACACTGAGGGAGGAGAAAATTATGTCCTTCAGGCATGGCATAGTCCATATGTTCCTATCTTAACCAGTAGTGTCAGGATCATCACCATTTTGTTTTCACCCACATCATCACACGCCCAGGTCTGCCAAGAATTAGGACATGGAAACCCATGTCAGGTAAAATCCTAAATAAAGAACTCATCTCCATGTTGGGTCAATGTTGGGTCCTGGCTGACTTGGCAAGTCTTTGTGAAGTTGCATGAGTGCAGAACAAGGGCCAGATTGATAAACTGTCCTGAGAATTTATGTTAGGTCCCAGTGGGCAGAATATATTGGCTATGTCAGCTGTCTACTATCAGTGTGTCACACAACGAAAACTTTGTGGTGTTTGCAGATAAATGATGATCTTGCATCTCGGTAAACAGATGTCATGGCATTATGTATAGGAATTCAGAAGTTACAGATTTCATTAGGTGGCAAAGCATCATGTGCTCCAACATTGCATTGTCTCAATATCTTGTAAAAGATGTTCCTTAGAGCTAGAAAACAAGTGTGCTTCTCTGGAAATTTCAAAACATGTTTTACGAGCTTCTTTCTTTTTGTCTTTGTTTTTTCTTCAAGCTGCAACTGTGGAAAGACACACACACAAAAAAAGAAGACTCAGAAGGCAATAATGAAAATTTTATTGTGACAGGTCTAGACAATAATTTAAAACACTAACTCATGTTAGTAGTTTTTCTCTGAAGTTTGGCATTTCTTAGATATCATATGAATTCCCCCTAGTACATGTCTTATTTCTTTTCAATAGATTCATTCCTAATTGCCTGACTTATCAGGCAATCGTTACTAACAATAGGATTTTCTCAAATGGTTATTGAGTTGTTGTCAAAATGTCTCAAACTGTCTACATGTGATCTTGCAGGAAGGTTTGTAGGGAATCATGTTTTGGGTTAGCAAAGCCTTTGCAGAGCTGAGTAAGTCCATATTAGATACTCTGAATTTATCTCTGAAGATGAATGGTTTTAATGGGCTACCAATATTAGTATTTTATTTCCCTGAGTCAATTCATCATTTAAGCCAAATTCAAAATCTTTGCTCCTACTTACCATTAACTAACTTGTGTTGATTAACAAAAGTGGTCATTGATTTCAGTTGTATCATTTCAGGTAGATGGTGATCATTTATACAAAACGTATCAAAATTCCATGTAGAAAAGATCATGAAACAGAAGTGTGTAATCATTTTTGGATAGCAAAGTTGTGGTACAGATCTGAATTAACTCAGGTTTTATTTTCAGAAAGCAGAATCTCCAAAAAAGTGCTTTTTTTGATGTCTGAGGTTGGACATGAAAAAACCCCACCACTGTTGTAATTTATGAACATTTGCACCATTAAGCTAAAAGTTTTGAACTAGAAAAGTAGAGCTTTTATTGCTTACAGCCACAATCTGGAAAACCTTTCAGAGCTCTTTTCATTTTTAACAGATCGTAATTTTCCCTGTTAGATCAAATTTATCTGTCAGACAGTAATAAGTTCTGGATAGTGACTTGATTTAAAATCAAGTATCAAATAGGTAGAAGTTTTTTTCAGGTATGTCTAACCTATGTAAGAAAAAATCTGTATAGGAGTGCAAGTGACAGATACAAAGGTATCTGCAGAAATAATCAGTTTTCCAATTTGATTGAGACATATAATTATGAAATCTGGACGTTGGCAGATAAAAGTTACCCACACATGAACTGATGTGAATTTTGTAGATACAGAGATATATCGCATAGAGAACAGATGACTTGATTTATAGAACATGTTAATGTTAATGGGAGTTATAAATTGCTGGTACAAATCATATCTCCATGAGGTATCATTGAATATCACTGAATCTGTGATGGAATTTAAAGTATGGCTTTGAGTTTAAGACAAGGAGAGTAAGATACCTGGGTTTGGAAAAGCTAGCTAGCTACCATAGTCACAGTTTTTTAGCGTTTTTGTTTAATACTGCTTTCAGATAATGTCTCCTTTGTGTTCATATGAACGTATTGTCTCAGTTATAACTGGCACCATCAACACTTTGTGTAGCATGTGAAATACAGCTGGATTCAAATCACATTTGTGAATTTTTTAGGAAATTTTTCATTTACTCCATATTTTACAACTGAAGCTATTCTGTGTATCAATTGTAAATGCAGATGGACATTTACCTGACTGTGTTCCAAATCAAATCCAGTGCATATCTGCATCTGGGATGAGAAAATAGAGATGTGTTGAATTGCATTTTATAGAAGACCCTGTACATTTTGCGTAGTTCTTGTGGATTTTCTGGAATGTACAACTGCTTGGGTGTTTCTGAGAAGTAGTTTAATCTCAAAGTGTTAGGCTGCCCTTATTAGTTCATTAAAGGGAAGCCAATATTCTAGAGTAGGAATAATCTGAATCATGCCAGGGTAAGGAACTGAAGCCATTTTAATTGTTCTAATGAATGATCTTCTCTTTTATACACATAGAGGACCAAAGTCTAATCTCACTCTTTTAGACCTCTCTGCAGAGTTTAGCGTGGTCGATGGTGAAATCCTGGTGTGTCATATGGGCTGGATGGCAGGAGTCCAGGTTACAGTACTAGTCTGGGCCCTTCCTGAAGTGATGCATCCAACAGACAGTGATGATCAGCTCCATGCCTAGTCCACTTGACCCTTAATGGCTGGAAACCCACAAAAATCAATTTCCTTATGTCCTTTACTAGCAGTGCAATGCAACCACATTGGCAGCTGGACTCAGAGGCTGGCAATTTCCAGATAATACCTGTCTGTCTGTATTCATTACCATCTGTTGATTACATCATCGACTCTGCTTCTACCAAGGTGATCAGTTAATTGTGTGAGATTAGCTTAATTAAACTGAATTATATAGATGTGACTATAGCTAATGTGACGTTTATGAGCAAAAAATCTTCAGTGTTTAGAAAATTCCACCTAGTATAAAATGCTGTAGTTATTCCCAGCAGTAAGAATGATTAGGCATTGGTTTTCCACAGAAATTTATTTAAAGGTCAGCAATTTGGGCCTCATCTCCAAAATACATCGTCACTAGGGCCCAGTTTATCTAAAATATTGCTTAAATTTCCCTGGAATGAAGAAGACAGTTGCAAACATAGAATCACAGAATGGTTGAGGTTGCAGGGCATGTCTGGAGATTGCCTAGTCCACTCCCTTGCTCAAGCAAGGTCAAGTAGAGCAGGTTGCTCAGTACCCTGTCCACTCAAGTTTTGAGTGTC